CGTTTGAATCGTCAGTGGCAAATTCTTTAAATATGAAAACGTACTTACAGGCTGTGAGTCAGCATTATTTGTCAGAACACCGGCATTGTAGTCTACTCTACCAGGATCAGGAAACAGTCCTCCATAAAATGCGCTGCACACATCTGAATATTTGGATTGAACTGTTCTGGAACAGTGTTGTAAATACAACTTAACCACCGATTTCTAGTCATGTCCTCTTTTGGAAGGCCAAACAAAGTATTTTCGCTTTCGCAACGAAACACACTTCACAACATGGCGGCGGCGGTGGCAGCAACAATAAAGTTACGTCTTCTTTCTTTGCGTGAACATTTGGGCGGCGTTATGTAAATCTTCCCACATCGTAATGTAGACATGTGGGGGCGTGTTTAAACGAGGCGTTTTAGGAGGGCGTGGACCAGTCTTAACTTTTATAAAGAATATCTCTTTAGGTTTGAGACTTTAGTCTTTGCAACTTTAGGGATCTTATCTATTTACGAACAGCTTGTAACACTCCAAAGAGAAAGGAACACTTGAAATCACATCATATGACCCCTTAAATGAAATAATCACCTGTGTAATTTATTATATTAACAATAAACTTGTTTCACAAAGTTTGAGATCCAGACAGTTACAAGAACTTACTACTAGGGATTGCGTAGCTAAAGCTTCCTCTGCGTCTGGCAAATGGCTGCTTGGATTCAGCATCCAGGTCTGCAACTGCTACCTCCAGCATCCTCTCTATGAGCTCCTCCTCATGTTTTTTCCATGTCTCCTCCGTCAGTGTCTTTGACCTTGCATATTTTTGGGATGTTGAATCTCTCCTCTTCTTTTCTAGAGTGAAGTATTCCCCTCTGTTTCTTGCTACTGTGTCTTCAATCATCTCAAATAATTTAGTGGCTTGAGATTTATTACCCAAGTCATTCACTAGTACATGATATCTGTTTTCACACCTTTCTACCAGGCTCTGAAGGGCTTTTCCTTCATACACAATGTACTCCTCAATTGGTCTGTCCTTTAGCCAGTGCCCCTCAGTGAATAAAATTAGAGTATGTCTCCAGACTCGCGCTCCAAAAAGGCCCATGAGCTCCATCACTGTTTGTTGAGTTTTCTCTGTAAAAGCCTCATCTACAGGCAGCACTAGCAGGAATACATGTGGACCTGGTGAGCAAACTTTCACACTGTTTAAAATGTCTTTTCTTGCATTTCGAGTTGATGTTGACCAGCCTGGAGCGTCAACCACAGAGATTTGACATCCTCCAACTTTACTCTGTCGCATTACACATTGACTTATTCTCATGATTTTAAAGTCCTACATAGAAAAACAACATTACAATTAAAATTAGCTCTTATAATAGAACCAAAAAAATTATAAATAAAGATAACACTTTATCATTGAACGAAGTACCTTTCCCAGCCTATTCTCAAAAAATTGTCCTTGCAGAATGATATTTCCTGATGTACCTTTCCCAACTCCTTCAACTCCAAGAAGCACAATCCTCAGTTCTGAAAGATGTTTTTTCCTTTCTAGTGTTTAGAAAGAAGTGATTAGCATGAATATTATCCTCAGATAATTGTCATACTAAATAAACAATGTGTGTCTTTTATGCAATTTCATAGATGCAAGATGGAAAATAAAGTTGTGCACTTACCCTTAAGCAACTCCTGCAGGATAGCCCTTTCCCTTCTCACCTTTTTCATGGTTGTTCTAGTTGTTTTCAGCATCAGGTCAATTTCCAGACACGGATTGCTTTCCATCTCTGGTACATAGTGAGAGTTGTTGTTTTCCATCATCATTTCCTCAATTTTCTCCAAAAGTTCTGTGACTTGTGTGCGGTCAGTGTGATTCTTACAGTTAAAAACATGGTATCTGTTCTCACACTTTTCAATCAGAAGCTCAAGATGTTTGTCTTCTTTTTCAATACGTTCTTCAATAGTTGTGTCCCCAAGACAATCTCCCCACGTGAACAGCACAATTGTATGATTCCAGACCTTTTCCCCTAAAAGACTCATATGTTCCTCAACAGCTGTGTGTACTGTCCTGTCGTAAGATATGGCAATGGGAATAGTTAACAGGATGGCATTTGGACCAGGTGCACATAGATGCACACTGCGTCTGATCTCCAGTTTGTCCATCTCTGGTGTCTTTTCAACAGGATAGTTGTAGTACCAGCCTGGAGTGTCGACCACTGTCAGCAGTTTTTCATCCACTGCTGCATTTTTAACATTACAACACACTGTTGTCCTTGGTCCACCAACTTCAAAACTTTCTTTTCCAAGAATGAGGTTGCCTGCAGAGCTCCTTGAAGCCCATGATGCTCCAAGCATCACAATTTGTATTTGAGTTCGATCTTGTAGATCATCTACACAGGAGAAAGTACTGATTACATGGCAGTAAATGTGATTGAATCAACAGTGATTAGACTTTACATTATTCTGTAAAATAATTCATTTTAAGTCAATTTGCCATGTAGTAATATTTACTGACTGTTAAAATACAGTAAGGCATATGTAATAGCTTTTTACCTCTAATGCGTGCTTGGAATTCAGCTCTTCGTGTTTCCATAGCAAGAATTCTCTTGTTGGCGCTTTTAGTTGTTGTGTCCTCTCTCTCATCCAGTGCAAAGGCACTTTTGTCCATTGTTAAGTATTGACCATTGTTTTGAGCTATCATTTTCTCAATTTTTTCCAGCAGTGTGATCACTTGAGAGCTGTCTTTGCTGTTGTTAATATTAAGAGTGTGATATCTGTTCTGACACTTCTGTAGAAGCCACTGGAGGTCTGGCCATTTTCTAAGACTATTTTTTAAGGTGTTGTCATCATATGGAGCAATAGAGGTGAATAACACAATGATGTGACTCCAGACTGTCTCAGACAAAAACTCTAAGTGTTTCTCCAAAGCCATTCTTTTCATTTGTACAAATCTTATATCTTTGGGAATGACCAGAAGAAAGGCATGAGGTCCAGGTTGACACAGTGTTGTACTTCTCATGATCTCCAATCGGTCAAAGTTTGGAGTGTTTTCCACAGAATAATGCCACCACCAGCCTGGTGTGTCAACCACAGTCACATGTCTTCCATGTACTTCTCCCTCTGCTTTAAAAGACCGGGCGGTTCTTCTTCCAACTTCAAAAGCATTTCTGCCCAGAATGATGTTTCCTGTTGTACTTTTTCCACTTGCTTCTCTTCCAAATAACTCTCGACCCCCAATCAATATGATTCTAATCTCAGGTGACTTTTCAGCTAGAAAAGAAAAAAATATATAAAAAGAAAAAATTGTTTTAATCAACCAGACCATTATGATGAAGTTGCATCAAAAAATGATACAGACAGAAAAGCTATTCAAAAACTTACTGTGATGAGATGTAGGGGAAATTTCCAGAAGCTCTGTGTTTTGCTCTGTCCGTTGCTCTGACATCTTCCCTTTTTTTGTTTGAGACTTTTTATGCAGGGTTTGTTAATTTCTTTTGAACCGTAACATGCCCCGTGTCTTGTTTTGCCTTTTTGCAACTTTTCTGATGCAACAGCTTCAACGAATTCCTTGTTTTTGTTCAATATTATATTTTTACAAGCTCATGAGTATGTTTGTGTTCTTCAAACATTTAATTCACTTTCCTGAGAAAAAAACATGAATCCTGGAAAAGTCCTTAACAGAACTTCACAGAACATTAAATATAATTTTTTAAATCAAATTATACTGTAAGCAATAGCATATACTATTGGTTTCATATAAGCTGTGAGTCACACCACACGCACAGACACGTGTGGTTTACAATTTGCTGTAAAGGTATCACTTTCTCTTCCATGTCAGGGATTTGCGATGTGATTTGTTGCTAATTCATATTCTAATATCTGTATCCATGTGAAGTCGGTAATTGCAAAGCAGCATGCATTGGAATTGAAAGAATTACATATGTCTTAAAAAAAACATCAAATGTTACTTGAATACTTATTTGGTGCCATTTATTCAAATGTCAGCTATAAAGGACTTGTCTTAAAGCATTATTTAACACAACATAAGCTAATCATCTTTACACTAATTGAGACTCTCATTCCATTTCTTGTACTTGCATGCAAATAATTAAGTGAACGAACAACACCTACATTGATTTAACTGTAAATGTATAAGCATACATGCATGCAAATAATTACAACTTCACTTACCTTTTCTCCACTCCGATATGGGGTTATTTACCAAGTCTGTGTGCAACACATTTGAATCTGCCTGCCAGCATAGCTGATGAAACAGGTTTTTAAAAGGAAATGGCATTAATATAATTCTTTCAAAAAACAGACCACACCTCTATGCGCTCACCTCACAATGATTTTTTCATGCCTAGTATTGTTTCCTTGTTTTCCAACCGTTCTTATCAGCATAATCCTTTTACACTAGTTTAGGTTTCAGACATGGATTTCAGTTTAGTTTGAATCCTTTTGGAAGTTATTGTGCCTCATACTATAGGTGTTAGTGCTCAGAACAGCTTTTGGTCCAGCAGTGTTTATGTCTTACTTCCTCCTTCGCAGAGCACTTAACAAAGAGAGAGGTGTGGAATGTCTGCACCAGTGCAAGACAGGGAAAGTGAATACTTTGCAGATGTAATAATATTTTACAATATCATGGTTTGTACTGTATGTCTGATCAAACAAAAGCAGCCTTGGTGAGCATAAGCAACTTTTTTCAAAAACATGAAACTCAATTGTTCCACACTTTTGTCTATAACATCAAACTAGTTTTATGTTTGCTCAGATATTTTTTTCATTACTTTTTAATATCAATAAATGACTAGCAAATATGAAAACTGAAGTTTAACATTATTATTATATGATTAGAAAAATGTATAGAATAATTTCAACAACTGGAACACTAATAATTTTGATACAAGTAGTGTAGTGCACATAATTCAAAAAGTGTTGGTGTATATGTGTATTTGGTCTTAGGGAGTTTGCCAAAGAAAGAGAGCGAGTGGAGAAGAGGCAGGAGTTCTTGAAGCTCCGCAGACAGCAGCAGATTGAGAGAGAGCTCACCGGATACCTGGAGTGGATATGCAAAGCAGGTATTATGTCTACTTTTACTAGAATTTACTTAATAACACACAAGCGCTTCAAACAATTCTCAGAAATGTATCTAAAGTCTTTTTAGGGAGTGGTGACAGTATGCGGTTACATTATATTTTTTGTGCCAAAAAAGTAGAACTTTGCCAAAAGTGTCTAATTTTATACTTTTTTGCCATTTAGTTGGATTTAAACATGTGGCTTTGTAGTAGCTTTGTGATTTGTAATGGTTTCAGTCTTTGATATTGGTACTCTGTGATATTTGTTCATTGCAGAGGAGGTGTTGCTGGCAGAGGAAGATCAGAATGCTGAGGAGAAATCCTCCCTGGATGGTGCGTGGTACAGGTGGAAACCGAACAACCCAGGTGAAAAGAGGCCGAGGGTCCATGAGTCTGGTTTACCATAGTATCATATGATAAACCAGGCCAGTGGAAAGTAGCTCTTGTTATATGAGCCCTCATATGTGATCTTGATTTTGCACAATGTGGCAAAATGCGGCTTTTGGCGTGGTGTTTAGAATTTGATCTTTTCACCTGGGCACAGTTGCTAGATGATAATTGAACCCATATTGTACAAAGGCTGGTTAAAGTATTTTTTAAGTTACAAGAAATAAATGGGCAAGTCAGTGTTATCTTTATATGCTAATGTACTCCTGAAAACAGATTAAATTAATTTAACAAAGCTGATAGCGAGTGGCAAATTATGGATTGTGGCTTTGGAATAAACTAAGGACATCCGGATAAAAGAGCCCTTCAATATGTCATACCTCAACTTCCAGTTTCATCATGAATTATGCGAAGACAAAAAAAAGAAAATATTTGTTCTGTTTTTTTCCCCTAATGCCATATTGTCCATCTTGCCTATACTGTCACTGTGAGCTATTGCACTTTCTCACAGACTCTCTGTTTTATGAAGGCCCATAATCTCTGTCGATTTGGGCTGTTTTGTAAACCAGAAGTAATTGCAGAGATTAAGACGACTTGGATTAGTTACACACACATGCATGTCACACAGTGTTGGGCACTAACTAGCTAAGTAGCAATAATACTAACTTAACTATATTTTCTGCAGCATAACATTTGTTCAACTATTTTCAAAATGCAGGTAGGGCCATTTTCTCAGTACCAGCTGCAATTTTGGTGTATTTTAGTTTTATTAGTTGTATTATTAATATAAATTTACTTGTTTAACTATAATGTTGTAATCATAAATGTAATTGTTTATACAAGACTTCAATGCAATTAGTTTAATATTTTTGTAAAATACATACTATTTAATCATCATTTCATCATTTGTGCATTTAGCAGACGCTTTTATCCAAAGCGACTTACAGTGCATTCAGGCTATACATTTTTTACCAGTATGTATCATGTATAAATTCAGTACTTTGTTATTTTGTGACCTGCTAAACTGCTGTTATTGATGAGTTGACATTGTCATATATTTTTGTCCAGCTGCTCATCTTCAACAGAATGTCATAACATATGTTTTCTGTACCTTTACTATCAGGAAGAGGGCAGGTCATTAAACCCGCGGTTACCAAATCTACAACAATGTAATTAGTGGCGTCGAGTGGACCTATGCATTTAGTGAAGATGGAATATGTAGAGAGAGAAAGTGAAAGTGTGAGAGGGGCAGGAATGCAGGTTCATGTTTGTACATGATTGAGTCAAGATCAAGATCAGGCCTGTAATGTCACACATTCCTCACTGCTGCCAGACACTCATGTGAAGCTTAAGTAGCAAGTAGAGCTATCAATTAAAAATAAAGATAATTAAAAGACATTACATTATTACGATTTTGTTTGTCACTTTTATTGTATTCCAATACTTGCATTAACAAGTATTAATTGTCAACCAGTTGTTTCTCATTAGATGAGAACTCTCACAAGCTAGTAGAAATGGGTTCTGGTTTTATTGACATAAAAACATTTGCCTAGAATGTGATCTGATGATGAATTGAAATGTTTCATAGTTTCTCATAATATTTGTGTGTATGTGTTTGTGTATTTATGCATTTTTATGTTCAGTCCTGAAAAGAGCGAAGAGCAGAAAGGGTAGAAATGACCTCATCAGTGCTGAAGAGGGAGAGGAACATTTCACAGACATCTCCTCTGTTGGTAAGCCATGACCTTTGACCTTTGACCTTCAGAAACTCTAGGTCACTTTACTGTGATGCATAAAACGTCAACACTTTTCCAAAAGCTACTTAGCCAAAAGCTACTTTTCACTTTTTAAAATAATGTAATGTATTAGTACTAGCAATGTATCCTTAAAATCATTCAAGCTTGATTAGATGTTTCCTCCTATTTGAAATTTAAGAGGCTGATAGAATGCTTTATAATCTTAAACTCATGTTTCTTAGCTTTAAACCATGATTAATAACTAATACAGTTTACATTCTTGTCTGTATTTATGTCTTATATCCTAAATGATGAAGTTACAGTAGAAGCTCTATGATCAGAGTAGGGGTGTCCCAGACTTTTCATAGTCGAATCGGAATTTCTTTATTAATAATAATTCTAATTCGTTATTAATGTTCTGCATTTCTGTTTTGAGCTGCGCGAGCTGAAGATGACTAGTAGAATGAAGCAGCAGGTTTTTAATCAATGGGATTTATCTCATCACTTATCTCATATAGAATACGCTTCGTTATTTATACAACATAACGTTAATATTACGACTTATAAGCTATCTGCACAGAATGCCCCGAATGCACATGAATGTGTCTGTGCGGCTCTGAATTAACTCCTTTTGTGGACACGTTCTTCACGCAACAACGTGCAGAAACACAGCAACTAAACTCTAAAAATTCACAGCGTTTTATTATAATAGTGTTCTCATTATAATTGTTATGTATATGACAGTCCCAGTCATAGTTATTAATATTCTGCATTGTTGTTTGTCCTGCTCGCGCTGCGCGCTGAAGAGATAATTGCAGCGCAGCTCAACCAAATGCATCTTATACGAGATAAATAATATATACGCGATATATATAAACCGGCTGAAATGTTTTGAAATCACTTGCACCCTACCTGATCGAAAAAATCCAGTAGTTCTATGTGAAATCAGACATTTGAGCACCCCCATATAGCCAAAATGGCATGATCATAACACCCCACGAATATTCAACTGTGAGATTGGTAGTCGATTCAGGCTTCTCTTATAGAAGCATCGAATCTTCGACTATTCGGGGTCACCCCTAGATCAGAGTTTAAGCATCTTCCTTTTATGAATGTATTTTTTTAATCTCTAGCTCCACCTGGATCACCTTTCGCCCGAGCTAGCCTGAAAAGCAGTAAGAACGATAGCTCTTCATATTTCCGTCGAAAAGAAAAGAGGATACGCTTTTTCATTCGGCGGATGGTGAAGGCACAAAGTTTCTACTGGATCGTTCTGTGTTTGGTGGGATTGAACACAATGTGTGTGGCCATTGTCCATTACGACCAGCCTGAGTGGCTCACCAAGGCCCTGTGTAAGCAAAGCAAATTCAACATTTATTCATATACTGTGTCTGTCAAAACATTAGATTTTTTTTGGCTATTTATTTGATGTTTATTAATGTGTCTTTTTAAATTGTAGTAAAATTAAGATTTAATTAAATAGTTAAATTATACTAAAATAACTAAAAAATGTTTGTTTAAAAGATGGATCCTCTGACTGAACAACATCTATTTAGCAATTTAAGAGCAAATGAAATAAACAAACATTTAGATATAAATATGTTTCAATAAATATTACATTTAATTATTTTAAATGTAAAATAAATGTATTTAATAATTAGTTTAGTTTAGTTTATTTCATTTATTTAACAGGGACCATGCACAACACAAGTGTTGTGCCAGAGTTAGCTACGGAGTTAATATGCATCTGCAGTCCCTGGGCAGGATGTTGTTACAAAATTACAATACTCCATCACAAACAATACAATACATACAATATCACATCACACTCCATAGAATGAACAAATGGTAAGTGATCGCATATTTGATTTTCCTTAAGCCATACTTTAAGTGTGGTTTTAAAAATACTGAATGTTGCACACTCTCTATATGAACAGGTACTGAATTCCATCTTTCTGCTGCTCTAACCGAAAAAGCTGATTGTCCAAAGACAATTTTCTTAAATTTAGCCGAACAGTCGCCTCTAACTGATGACCTAGTCTCCCTAATATTTTCCTTACAGAAAGCCACACATTGTTTAAGAGGTGGTGGTGCAAGATCATGAATTAGTTTATACATCAAACACACATCTGCAAAGAATAAAATATTATCAAGCGCCAATAATTGATCATTTTTTAATAATAATGCAAAGATGATAACTCCTTGGCTTTTTAGCTAAAAATCTCACAACTTGTTTATAAATAGCATATAATGATGTTAACATGGTTATACTTGTTTGGGACCAACTTGTAGCACAATAAGAAAGATGTGGGGGAATCATTGTATGCATAAAATGTTTAGCAGCAGCCATAAGGTAATTGGTGCCTAATAAGATCATCAAGCTTGCTCTAGCACTTCTAGAAACCTTTTTGATATGTTTTTTTAAATTTAAATTAGAATCCATAATCTTACCCAAATATTTAAAATGCTCAACAATATTTATTCTCCTTTGACTAAAATATCCGGACAACGCTCATCAACTCTCTTAATTGAAAAGTACATTCCCACAGATTTCCTCACTCAATGAAAGTATATATTATTTATTTTATCTGTGTTGCCCAGCTCTACCTTGTAAGAGCGTTAGTTTTGAAGGTTTGTGTGGGAAAAGCTTGGGTTTTGACAGATAACCCAATCTCTCCTTTCATTTCTACGGGCTGTTAGACCTGGCAGAGTTTGTATTCCTGGGTCTGTTTCTGACAGAGATGACTCTGAAGATGTATGGCCTGGGGCCCAGAAACTACTTTCACTCCTCGTTCAACTGTTTTGACTTTGGGGTGAGTCACAGCACACATGATTCAGATGGGCCAGTCAGTCATTATCAGCCACTGTGATACTTATGTCTACACTGAATCACCACAAGGCTGTTCATGAGTTGTAGCTTACCAGCTTACTCACATTCACTCCAACTGTCATTTTCTTGGTAGATTTTATGTGTATTCTAGTTACCTTTTAAGAATTTATTTTTTTCTGGTTAATATTTTAATACATTTCGTTTAAATGAGACGCTACACAAAATAAACTCGTATAACTGAGAGGTTCTTGGTGATTCTTGATTTCTCAGGTAATTGTGGGAAGTATATTTGAAGTGGTGTGGGCAGCGATCCAGCCTGGTGCATCTTTTGGGATCAGTGTTTTGAGAGCCCTGCGCCTGCTCCGTATTTTTAAAGTAACCAAGTAAGTAAATGAATACACTGCTGATTTGTGAATGCTTTCAAACTTGGGTTGGGCCAAAACAATAACATATCTAAATATTGCAACTGATATTGCACTGATACTTCAGATCAGAAATTCCTGATACTTTAGACCCAAACCGCATGACCAAGATTTTTTACATAAAGTACTCCCTGAAACTAGCGTTTAATAAATTTTTACATGTTGTCCATCACAAATGTTTAAAACTAATGAGTACTATTTTAATATTATTGATATTATATTTTTTATTCATATATTCCTTATATTTTTAAATATAACTACATATATAATATACAAATATGTGTGTATATTTACATATACTTCAAAATTAATAAAAAATATATTTTTTATAAAAAGTTAATTCTATGTGTTAATTCTCTCTCTCTCTCTCTCTCTCTCTGTAGGTATTGGAACTCTTTGCGGAATCTTGTGGTTTCACTGTTGAACTCCATGAAGTCCATCATTAGCTTGCTCTTCCTCCTCTTCCTCTTCATCGTAGTGTTTGCCCTGCTAGGCATGCAACTCTTCGGGGGCCAGTGAGTGATTTCTGAAATGTTCCTCCATTGTTCTAGCCGTTTCTGTCCAATTCCTCCTCTGGAATAAAGAAATACATTTTATTTCTTCTGTTTAAATTTTTTTATTTTATATGCCCAATATTCTCCACCAAACAATGTGCAAATTAAAAGGTATAGACAACCTGGGCCATGCACTTTTTAAATAATTAATAGGCATACACTTTTAAAATGCTCATGGTTCACATAACTACAATCACTTAAAAGTGACTGTGCCAGGCAACAGCAGATTCTGTAAAGATGCTGGAATTGTAAATCTGCATGCATCCTTATGCCTTATGACCACAGCAGGCCTACCATGAAGCTCTGATAGAAGTTTCCATAACACCCCTGTGGCATCTGCTTCAGATCAGTTTTCTGGAGATGATCTAAAGTCTGACTGCATGTTTGATGTGTCTTCTGTTGGACTGAGATCAGCCTAGGCTCCATCTGCTGGGGTACTGCTGACTTATCCATGAACAAAACTGGTCACAACATGTGCTTAATTGTGCAGTCTCATTTATGTAATGGGGTTGTAAAATGTGTCCTACTGTCAAGTGCAGTTTTGGTGACACATTTTAATAGTCTTAAGTTTGAGTCGTTGTTGAGAAGAGAAGCTCTGGAGAGATTAGTATTTTCCTCATCTTTCCTGGACACTGGCTGCATCAAAAATCTGTCAATTCTTTTGAATAAGTAATTACTTCTCAGCCATTAAAAATTAATTTCTATATAGAATGAATGTGTGTAGTATGAATGTAATCCGGACGTACTACATTCGTCATTGTCAAATGACCTACCAGCATCAGTTGTGTCGCTTCACTGCTATTCACAAATCCTCTCCCGTGGCCTCATGGAATAGTAAATTGTCCATTGGATGCACATTTCAGATTCTTGCAGGAAGTAGTAAGTCATCCAGGTACTTTTTGCTTCCCATTTTATGAATACTGTGAATTCAAACTACTCTTTTCATATAGCCACTAAATTGACTATACTGTACACATAACCACTAAAAGTATCATTGTTATTATTATTATTTTTTAAAATGTTGTTATTATTTAGTCTGTTTCTGTTGCCACCTTACATCAATTAAATCAAAATTTCAGTACATCCATCCATCATCTTCTCCCTTCTTTTCTGCAATCCTTCTGCCCTCGTGCCAACTCTTGTGAGCAGAGAGAGTGATAAAGCATGCCAAAAGGGATTTAGATCTCTACGCTCTGAGAATTACTGAGCTGATTATGCAGTGTGTCTGCTTGCTTTAACGAAGGGCACCCCGCTGACAACAAGCGTGATAAATGAAAGCTTTAGTCGTCATCCTTCCTCTTTCTCTCCCTTTTTAGTGGCATTAGGCTACATGTAACCAATACAGTGTATCTAGCAGTCAGTTATAAACTGTATCTGTTAAATACAGGAGTATAGTAATAATGTTAATTTTAGCATTGCAGTATGAGTGTTCACCATCTTATAAACGTGAGTTCTGCACAATTCCGTTGCTTCTCATTTGAGTATGAATGTTACACTGTTCTTAACATTCAAGCCCACAAATGACTGATGATAAGTGCCGTGCTCAAGGGTACAAATTATGGTAAAACAGAATTTTGATCCTAGTAACTCAGTGTCTTTGTTTTGACAGCCCTGCGATTAAAGCAAAGCAGAACTGACATAAAAATCTTTAGTGTACCTCTGAAGCCTGTTTTACACCAAGTGCGCTGAAGCTCTCTCTCTCGTCCCAACCAGGTTTAATTTTGAAGATGAAACTCCCACTACAAACTTTGACAGCTTCCCTGCAGCCATAATGACAGTCTTCCAGGTATACTTTATTTTAATTATGCCTTATGAATGTTTAATGTGTTTTTTTCATGTATTAAACTGTAAGACTGTTTGGTGTTCTTGACCTGTTTATGCCTCTTGCAGATTTTGACAGGAGAAGACTGGAATGCAGTGATGTATCATGGGATAGAGTCCCAGGGTGGTGTCCGGGGTGGAATGTTCTCTTCGGTCTATTTCATTGTTCTTACACTGTTTGGAAACTGTATCCTGTCCTTCATTTGTTCACATTGTTGGGGCATCAGGGACAAGACGATTTAAAATGCACCTACATTAAAAAGTTCAACATATGGAAAATCAAACAGTGAATATTGTCAGAGGCTAAGAAAATTGTTAAAATAAATACTGTATATTTTAAGTCTATTTATTCAAGAAAAAAAAATGTTTTAGACATTTTAATGGAAGAAAGTAGATAAAAAAAATCAGTCCAATTTCTTGGAATTATTGATAAAATGTAAAAATGTACTCTGTTTTAATGCAAATTTAGTGTATATTCGATGAAATGCAATATGAAATGCAAACGATTCTCTAACCTGATAACTAGACACACTTCTCAATGTATTCTTGGCCATCGCTGTGGATAACCTTGCCAATGCACAGGAGCTGACAAAGGTAATCTGACCTTAATAAAGCTTCCTGTCGCCTGATTTATGATCATTTTATTTATTTTTTTATTTTTTGTTATCACGCTTACATTGTCACAAAGCACCATGAGAATGTAGGTTTCTTTTATCCTAATCTTTCATTTCTGCAATGCCCATGCTTTCAGGATGAAGAGCAACAAGAGGAGGCAGCGAAGAAGAGCATGGCTCTTCAGAAGGCCATGGAGGTGAAGGAGGTCAGCCCAATGTCTGCTGCCAACATCTCAATAGCAGCGTAAGAGTCTGCATTTTTCCCCTGTATTTTTTCTTATCCAGCCTTGCGCTATGAAACTTTTCCTCTAATGTGCACTGTAACTGTTATTTGTTACTTCTCTTTTACGTTTTTTGTGATTGCTTGATTGTTTGTCCAGTCAATGTCAGTGTGACCCTGACCTCCCTTTAAACCTACTCTGTGTGTAGTCTGTTCTTCATAAGTGTATTGCTTTAGGGTGATATGTTAAATCAAATCAGTGTTATTATAGTTTAATTGTCATCTGCAGAGATAGTTATTATGGTGCCATATGTGTTTTACATATGCAAATTTTGCCTGAAAGCTTCTGCAAGGTAAAACAACCCAAATTACTGACAGGTGGACAGACAGAGTGACATCACCCTGACTGCCATCTGCTCCCTCTGCACTTTTTTCATGTGTGTTTGTGTCTCATTTTTTTGTTTTTGTTTTTTGTTTCACATGTGCAGTTTTGTAAAGCAAAATCGAGATGCAATCTCTCGCAGGTCTTCAGTCTGCAGCGTTATTCAAATCCACCCTCTCCTCTCCTCTCCTCTCCTCTGCTCTGCTCTGCTCTGCTCTGCTCTGCTCTGCTCTCCTCTCCTCTCCTCTCCTCTCATCTCCTCTCCTCACTTCACCTCTCCCTGTTTCTATTCCTATTCCTTGTTCCTATATCTCTACCTATTCCAATCTCCTTAAAGCTTTAATCCTCTCATTGTTTTTCCTTCTCTGTATTTTTGGTTGTAGCTCATCTCATTGATTTTGGGGGATGATCATAGTATCAATTTTAGTAGTAAACAAATGCTTTCATACAGAATACGATTAATCAACATTGTCCATCCCAGCACCCTTTAAATTACAGCCATGCATGTCTACATGGCTGGTGTTAGTATGGTTAGTAGTTGATTTCCTTATTTTAGTGCTCTTTAAAGACAACTAAACTCCCGAAGTTAGAACTAGAAAAGGAACATTTGTCAAGGCAAACTTTGAATGTCGGCTTGACAGAATGTTGTGTGAAAAAAATGTTGTCTGTTCTGTTGTTTGAAAAAAAAAAGTGGACAAAAAAGATTTAGGGTTTATATACTTATACTGTAATATATACTGTATATACTGTAGTTAATATTTACTAGCATGTTTCTAGAAAGAAAGAGAAAGAAAGAAAGAAAGAGAATGAATGAATGAATATATGAATCTTTAACACCAGGTTAGGAAAGAAATTCGGAGACATTAATTAGAAAGCCCACAAATATTGTTAAACCATTAGATTGGTTTCATTATTTTACACTACGTGTGTGTTATTTCTTCTTTACATGGTCTCCCTTTCTCATTGATTTTGGGGGATGATCATAGTATCAATTTTAGTAGTAAACAAATGCTTTCATACAGAATACGATTAATCAACATTGTCCATCCCAGCACCCTTTAAATTACAGCCATGCATGTCTACATGGCTGGTGTTAGTATGGTTAGTAGTTGATTTCCTTATTTTAGTGCTCTTTAAAGACAACTAAACTCCCGAAGTTAGAACTAGAAAAGGAACATTTGTCAAGGCAAACTTTGAATGTCGGCTTGACAGAATGTTGTGTGAAAAAAATGTTGTCTGTTCTGTTGTTTGAAAAAAAAAAAGTGGACAAAAAAGATTTAGGGTTTATATACTTATACTGTAATATATACTGTATATACTGTAGTTAATATTTACTAGCATGTTTCTAGAAAGAAAGAGAAAGAAAGAAAGAGAATGAATGAATAAATGAATGAATGAATATATGAATCTTTAACACCAGGTTAGGAAAGAAATTCGGAGACATTAATTAGAAAGCCCACAAATATTGTTAAACCATTAGATTGGTTTCATTATTTTACACTACGTGTGGGTACTTAGAGCTTGTTATTTCTTCTTTACATGGTCTCCCTTTGACCTTAGATATATGTATTATATATGTGAAGGCACTGAGAGTCTCCAGCACTTTGATTACATCATTTTTATAGTGGTTAACTTTTCCAATATGAATGAAGGCCAAGCTAAACAGAGCAGTCTGGGTGTGCTGTCTGCAAGCTTCAGTGACTATTTGGATCAACGGCCTTTGCAATGTGTGGTTTTAGGCTTTGTTTGTGTGTGTGTGTGTGTGTGTGTGTGTGTGTGTGTGTGTGTGCATGCAAGAGATAGAATAGCACTTTTTTCAACAAGAAACAGCACAATCATTTGGTGCATGGAAAGTATATTAAAATCTACGGGTTCATGTTGTTTGTCTCTGTTACGTTTTCCTTTCTCTCTAGTTGTTCTTTCCTTCTCTCTTGACCTCTTTTTATATAATGTGCTTGTTTGTCTTTAACCTGTCTGTCGTTTTTGTGTTGTGCGACCCTGAATGTATCTCTAAGGAGTTATGTCTACACTCCATGTCGTCGCATTGTGAGGTATAGTGACACAACTCAGGATGCTATTGTTATTTTTGTTTGACTTTAGCTGTTTTTATCATTAGTACATGCTATTAGCACATCATTAGGACTTCTGAGTCCCTGTAGTTCCATGATGCTCTTTGTCCCCTCTGAACAACGGAACAGCATTTGGTGCTGGACGTAAGCAAAATGCATGAGTCACAGAGCATGACATACAGATTATACTGAAACTGTACTGTATGTAGAAAAACCTCTATGCCAACCACTGTTCCACTCGAATGCTTGAGAACGACCAGTAAGAATTTCTCCTTATGTGTTACACAGAAGAAATAAAGTCATACGGGTTTGAAACAGCATGAAGGCGAATAAACATGTGACAGCACTTTCATTTTTGGGTGAACTTTTCTTTTAAAGTGGCCATAACTTACAAAGTTTAGTTTAGTCATTTTTGTTTATCATTTTGTCCCTTTGAAGTCCAGAATAGCTGATTGTTTGTCTACTATACCTTTAAGAATTAAAGAATGACCTGTGACTTTAAGATGTACAACCTAGATTTGGATTATTGTTTTTTACCGTTTATTGTTTTACTTATTTACTATTACTATTATAGTATGTATTAATGTTTTAAATTAACATTTATTTTTGTACTGTTTAGTTTTCATGTTAAATTTAGTTTAAGTTTTAGTCATTTTGTTATGTGCTTTATCATTTATATTGGTTTTTATTTAAATATTTCTATAAAGCTTTATTTATTTTTATTTCCATTTTACTACTTTTTTAATACTGCCTTAGCAACAAGTTTTAGTCTAATGTGAAACTCTCATTATGTCATGAAGATTAAAGGGATAGTCCACCCAGAAATGAAAATTCTGTCATAATTTATTCATATGAATAATAAAAAAATATATTTTGAAGAATGTTGGTAACCAAACAGATTCAGTTCCCATTGACTTCCATTGTATGGACAAAAATACATTGGATGTCTATAAGAATTCATATGGTTACCAATGTTCTTCAGAACATCATATTTTTTACACAGAAAAAAGTAAGTCAAGTTTGGAACAGCATGAGGGTAAGTAAATCATGACAGAATTTTCATTTCTGTGGGTGTATTATCCCTTTAACCATGATCAGTGTGATTTCGAGTGGTCAACAGTGGTGGGCTCATGGATGTGGGTGTTATCGGAGTAAATACGTAGTGATGTGTGTAATTCAGGTGAATATTCTCCCGTCCCTCAGTAAAGAGCAGCAGAGGTCACTGCAGAAGTTGTCCATATGGGAGCAACGCACCACCCAGCTGCGTAGACACAACCTGCGCAACAGCAGCGAGGCCCTTTACAATGAACTAGAGCCTGAAGAGCGTCTACGCGTGTCTTCAGCGCTCCATCTGCGGCCCGACATGAAGACCCACCATGATCGTCCACTTGTAGTTGAACACAGAGACGGCACAGGGGACAATTCCAGGACTGACACAGATGGAGACACTCCAGACTGTCAGCTGTCCTCTAGCAACCCAAGGAAGCACCATCGATGTCGAGGAGAGAACGGAGATGCTGGAGAGGGGAGGCACCATAGAAACCACAGCCGAAACGGAGAGCATCAGGACACCCTGGAGCACAGCAGCAATCAGGATGGAGGACACAGGAACCACCACACGGCTGGTTCTCTTGAGGAGGGCATAGGGTTGGAGGAGAGAGAACACAGACACCACCATTCTCGCCGATCCAGGGAGGTCAACGGGAATGGCAACGGCACGATTGGTAATGGAGGCAGAGGCGAGGGTAGGATACGAGGTCACAGAGAGGGCGAAGGAGAGAATGGAGAAAGGAGGAGACTCTGGCCACTTGTTAAAGCCCAGTCCACACTGAATGGAGAAGAATGCAGGGAGAACGGTGGGAAACACAGGTACATTCTCAGACTGTATGGCGACCTCAGAAACTATTTGGACGCTTAAAGGGATAGTCCACCCAAAAATACAAATTCTGACATCATGTACTCACCCTCATGTCTTTTCAAGCTGTATGCATTACTTTTTTTCTGCAAGCAAAATAAATAAATAAATAAAAATTCTGACATCATGTACTCACCCTCATGTTTTTTAAACCTGTATGCATTTATTTTTTTCTGCAAAAAAATACAAATATATATATTTTTAATTCTGAAGACATGTACTCACCCTCATGTTTTTTCAACCTGTATGCATTTTTCTTTTTTCTGCAAGTCTCTGCTTGAAAAAAATCTCTGCTGCTTTTCTTTAAAATACATGACATTACTTTGATGTTTTGTTTTCATCATTTAATGTGAGACATTTTGAAGCCATGTACATGCTGAATAGACTGACATTAAATGCATGATCAGACATGGCATTTTTCCTAAAATTTCATTGTTGCTTTGATCTGCATGTACTTTGCAAAGCATTAGGCAGCACTTTGAGATATATTGAGTATGTATGTTGGATATATATATGTATATATATATATATATATGTATGTATGTATATATGTATATATATATATATATGTATATGTGTATATATATATATATATATATATATATATATATATATATATATATATATATATATATATATATATATATATATATATATATATATATATATATATATATATATATATATATATATATATATATATATATATATATATATATATATATATATATATATATATATATATATATATATATATATATGTATATATATATTACAGGGGCAGACCAACAGGAACAGACAGCCTAGCCACCAGCCCTCTCCAGTCTCCTACTGAAGAGAAGCCAGAAGACAAAGATAATCTAAAAAACAGCACCAGAGTGGGCCCAACCGGAGTCAACATTCCTGTCACCATAACTGCCCCACTAGGAGAGACTACAGTCATTCCCAGTAAGTATTTTTTTTAATCTCCTGCTTGAATAATATGAGCACATTCTGCCCAAAATAACATATCAATTGTAATAGAAAGTTCAAAAGAACAGCACATTTTTTAAATAGAATATTTTGTAACATTACAAATGTCTTTACTGTCACTTTTGATCAATTTAACAGGTCCCTGCTGAATAGAATCAGTAAGTTTTTTTGTTCACCGCTTTTTTTGTCTTCTCCCTTCTAGATGATCGATCTTGGGCTGCTGTTGCATCCTGGGTCTTACTTCAGGGATCCGTGGAACATACTGGACTTCATTGTAGTCACCGGTGCTCTGGTGGCCTTCGCCTGCTCGTGAGTGGCTGTTTTTGTAATTCTGTCAGAGTGGAACAGACAGAGCGGTCAGAAGAGCAGGCTGTCAGTTCAAATCCAGCAAGAGAGCATTCAGTCGAAAATGACGGAAACAGGATGTGACTGTCTGCTGTTTAGTATCTGGTGTGAGATGGAGCTCTGTGATGAGGGGAAGTGTGGCATCTGTGTATAGTTCGGTCTTTGGAACTGATCGGTTTAACGTGCGTCTGCTTTTTTTTTTTAGCTCATAATAGGATTGTGCATAGCACGCATAGGATTGTGCATAGCACGGGTGCTAATGATTCGGGTTTAGTATTTCCCACAGGAGCTGAGCCAGACAGTCACGTTTCCCAGCTGTTTGCTTTTAATTCTTATTGTTCGTGACCCATCCCTGATAATTAGCAATGATTTCCTAAATGTGCTGTTACTCTTCTAGTTGAATCAATTTATAATTTTAAAAACAGAAATGAAACAGCAATAAAATCCACTGACGTAAAAATAAAATAAACTCACATTAAAGGAATTGTTCACTTAAAGATGAAAATTTACTGAAACTTTACTCACCCTCAAGCCCTCAAGATGTAGATGAGTTTGTTTCTTCATCAGAACAGATTTGGGGAAATTTAGCATTGCATCACTTGCCTCACCAATGGATCCTCTGCAGTGAATGGGTGCCGGCATGAGTCAATGAGTCCAAATAGCTGATAAAAACATCACAATAATCCACAAGTAATCCACACGACATCAATTAATGAAAAATTGCATGTTTGTAATAAATCAATCATTAAGACTTGTTTAACTTGAAACCATTGTTTACAGCTAAAAAATCAAGTCCACTGTCCATAATGTTGCTTTCTCCAGTGGAAAAAGTCATTTTGTCTGAATCAGGAGAGAAATATGCACAGACTAAGCTCTGTTTACAAATGTAAATAACAGTTCAAAACAGATCTAAACAAATATGTCTGTGGATTTTGATGTGAAAGGACAACAGGGGATGGAACTTTTCACTGGAGGAAGCATTATTATGGATTATGGACTGGTATTTTGGCCAGAAGCCAAATAATTTTGATATTTTTATAAGCTGTTTGGACTTTCATTCTGACGGCACATATTCACTGCAGAAGATCCATTGGCGAACAAGTGATGTGATGCTACATTTATCCAAATCTTTTCTGATGAAGAAACAAACTCTACATCTTGGATGGTCTGAGGGTGAGTACATTTATAGCAAAGTTAAATTTTTGTGTGAACTGTTCCTTTAAAGTAGATACCTGAGCCATATCGAGAGACCAGAATATTGTAGTGTCTTGGGTACTTGAGCCACTAATGGCGCTTTTCCACTGCGTGGTACGACTCGGCACGGCTCAGTACGGTATGGCACGGCACGGCACAGATCGGTTTGCGTTTCCACTGCAGTTCAGTACCGCTTTAGAGTGGGCGGGATAATTCACATGTCGTTATAGTTGCGCCGCGACTCCTGAAAAACCTTTTCATTCCGCGTCGCCCCATCAAGCTCTCGCTGGATCCGCTCCTCTGCTATCAACGAGAGGAACGTCTGTACTTCCTCAACAGACAATGAAACAGCCACTTTTTGGTTGTTAAAAAAGGTGCGCTTGTTCAAAACAGTTGCGTTCGATCCTTCGCTGGCTGTGCTGATTTAAATCTAGCGGTTCTGTTGTGTTTGTGTCGCAAGTTCAGTGATGCGGATAGTGACGATTCTCTCCAGCCAATACGTGATCAGCAGAGTTTACACGTCACGTTTTGGTAACGGTACAGTTCACTTGGAACCCCAACCGAGGTGGTACTAAAAAAAGTACCAGGTACTGTACCCAGTGGAAAACCCCCCAAAAGTGAACCGTACCGTGCCGTACCATGCAGTGGAAAAGCGCCATAAGTAAATTCCTTCATAGCAATGCCCTTGCAACCACCCACAACACTCTAGCAATGGCATAGCAACGTGCTAACAACCACTCAGAACACTTAGCAACCATAGAGCATCACCATGGCAACCACCATGACATCACAGTGGCTAGTTTTGGACGGGCAACATAATGTATTTTATGAAGCCCGGTGGATACAATTTCCTCTGCAAGGCAAACATAAATGCACAAGCTCAGTTTGACACCGCGTGTGTGATTTGTGTAATAAATGCAAGGTCTAGTTTGAGTGTGGCTGAATCCTCTTAGTTGTCACATGCAGATGCTCAGCTGTCTTTCTCCACCTCTGCAGTTGACAGAAGGACCCTGGGGTGCTTTCAAATAGCTGAAAAAGAGGTGATAGAAAACTGCTCGGCTTTTGAAACCAGCCTTCTGTGTGAGTTTGCAGTTGTATTATTGAGTAGTGCAGAAACTGTCCATGCATCATCTCCGGCTGGTACCTGTTCTTCTGATGGTGGCACTTCAGCATATCTAGGCATTTGTTCAGCTATGACTCTTTGTTTCTATATGTAACGGAGGCCAGCGAGTAGGTGCTGTGCAGGTAAAACCTCACTCCCCTGATCTCAAGAGATGCACTCAGTCTTTAGCCTCCTTGTTAGTGCATCCGCCTCCCATGCCGGAGACTCGGGTTTGAGACCCACTCGGAACAAGAACGAGATGTGGCGGTGAGGACCTGGGGGAGAGGGGTTACATATGTATATTGAACAAGTGTTTAAACCAAGATGCCTACAATGCCTACATAAAAGTGCCTGTAGTTGAAGAAAGGAGTACTTAGGGTGGTATCAGCTCTGGTTTCAGTGCATTGTTGTATATTGATTATAAATGTATCTCATACTGTGTTCTGCTTTTTCTGATTCTCTTGTGTTTGTTTCACTTTAACTGTTGTAATTTTCTTCTCTCTCTTGTGCTGTTCTTCAGTAGTTGATAGCAAGCTTTTGTCCTGTGGGCTTTAATGTTTCTCATTTAGTTTTTTCTTTCTCCATCTTTCTTTCTCTGTCTCTCTCTCACTTTCTTTATCTGCCCTGTCCTTCCCTCTCGCTTGCATTGCTTTCAGGAGCTTCATGGGGTACGCATTTGTTATTACCTGCTTCCTGTGTATCTGCCTGAGTATGTGTGTGTGTTTGTGTGGATAAGGAATCGCTAGACCAGTGCAACATATTCGCAAGATTTGTGAAACTGCACTTCTGTAGACCATGATTGGGCATGAATTCTTAAACTCAATACACTTCATCAACTAAATATACCTGAGGTACTTGCCAGTTGTTCATTATTTAATCTGTATCCATAAAGAAGCCCAACATAATACATATTTTAAATGTAATTGTTAGAAAGACAAAATGACACTTGCTGATGTAAGATAAAAGACATACCAACTGTCTACTAAGGAAAACATCAGTTATGACTTGTGCATCTTTTATTTTTAAATGTGTTCATTTTTATTTCATTTTTAAAATTCAGATATATTTTACTTGCTATACACAATCAGCATCTATCACCAGGACTTGCATGAACCTTCATGTATGTACTTTCTTATAGTGTGTGTGTGAGAGACATTTGCCAGTCTGTAACCTTTTCACTTTTGTGATTTTTATCACAGTTCCGTGTTGCGACGTCTCTATATTTACTGCTGAAAGTGATTTATCTTGCAGAGATGTTACAAACAAACAGTAACTAATTATACCTCACTGGATCATGTCTTTGATTATTATAATGGTTTATTGTGCACTGGAGTTGCTTTGATGCTTTTTAATCTTTCTTTGCTGTTCCAGTGTTTCCGCTCAATGACAGCTCTCTTCCGTTCTGATCTCATTTAATCTCATTTACTGCTTATTCTATGTCTGTGATGCAGCTTATTATGTGTGTGTTTCTATGTTTGTGCATATGTGCATGGTTTTTCATCGGTTTCCCTCGTCAGATCGCAGCAAAGCGTGACCAGGTGGGGACAGTCTATATGTATAAAAACATACACTTTATCCCCCAACCTCCCCACGGACCACTCCAAACTCACAACCCTTCAACTCTTCCTCAGCCTTTGTAGAAAAGGATGGACCTACTTTTAACCTTGACTTGACCTCTGACCTTTGAAAGGGCTTATAGAAACTACTACTCCTACTGTTTCCAGAGGACAGCCACCTCTGATGCTTAGCCAAACAAAAGCTCAATTACTGATAATTACTATTAAATTATAGTCAACAAAAAAATTTAAATAAAAAAGTCAGATCCTGCATATATCCTGCAAATTGCAGGAGTTCTGTAAACTCCTTGTTGAGATAATAAATACATTTTTGCATATTTTATATATATATATATATATATATATATATATATA